ACAAGAAGCTAGTAGTAACAGGTGCCACGCTAGTAGTAACAAGAAGCGAGTAGTAACAGGTGCCACGCTAGTAGTAACAAGTGCCTTACTAGTAGTAACAAGAATCTCTACGGATCGGCGGCACCGGGTGATCAGGTCCCATCCTTCGACGAAAGCTCCACCGTTCGGCCGTCGCCCAACGGCCGGTTGACGCGGGCGACGTCGACCCCACGTTCGCCTTCCGTTCGGTTCCGGGCGTTCGGCGTGGCAAAGGCCAAACAGCAGGCGCCCCGCCTGCATCTTCGCGTGAATGCAGCGGTGCTTCATCTCCTGGTAGGGGTGACCAGTGGTGCACCTTCCCCTCAAGGAAATTACTACTACTAGTAGCTAGAAGCTATTGGGTTGGAGGCCATCGCTAGTAGGTTGGAGGCCATTAGTACCAGTAACAAGAAACTACCAGTTACTAGTAGCTTAGTAGCTTCTTGCTACTCGTGGCGGCAGGCAAGTCCGAAGCAGAACGAACGAAGCAGTCCGGCGGGTGGCCGCAGCGGTGGACTGCGCGCGGTGTGAAACACGCGGTCCGGTGTGGCGGCGAAAGAGAGAGCCTCTTCCAGCGGTCCGGTGTGGCTGAAAAAGGCTGGACGAGTTCGCATGTGTTCCATCACTCTCCATAAACCTGGTGATAACCTTGATCGATGTATCTTTTGGTGCAGAAACGACTGGTCGGTACACGTTCGCTGGCGACCGTGGTATATGGTTTGAGATCCCAGGAACAGCATAGCAACATGATTCAGATCTATCCCTCCCGATCGTCCCATCGCCATCGCCGGGCTTTTTGGAACGTGACACGTCGTGAGGGTTTGTGGTATGGAATTGATGCAGCTGCCCAAATCCGATGATGTTCCTGGTCTAAAGGGATTTGTCAACGACGATGCAACAATACGGATGTGTGTTTCTGCCGTTTCCAGAAACGGATCAGAAGGATAGGAAGGAGGAGGTACAACGGTATAACTAACCCCTACCTTGACGAGTGAACCCTCTACTGTGGATCATGTCTATTTTTGTCCAGGTCAAAAAAGAGATCAGTTCGTCCGTCAGTCAACCCTCGAGGCGTTGGCAACAGGTGCCCAGCACCTTAGAGTTGAGTGGAGTTGAGAAGGAAATGCTAAAAAAATCCACCACGACCGTCCAAACAGTCCAAAGGGTCCTTGCCGCCGCGAATTCTTCACTGCCAATGGGGGGCACAGATTTGGCAGGCAGGGTGCGCAGTCTGTCGACCCTGATTTGTTGGCTCCTCCAATTCAAATGTCGCTCCGGGATGCGCACAGGGGATGTTGTGACATGCGCACAGGACATGTTTGTCAAAACCCACAAAGAAAAATACTTGGAAGTAGAAAAACCGAAAAATCCGTTCGACCATGTTCAAAATGCTTGATCTGGCTGGCAAGTGTAACCCCCGTCGTATAGCAATGGTGCTTCGGTGAACACCATTAAACAAATGGTGGCTGAAAATCTTAAAGGATGGATCATGAAGGTTTTTTAATGCCCTGACTCAAACGTCCTGCAATCTAGGAAGACGGGTACCTATAAGACATGACCATGACTAGCTGCGCATCCAACTTCTTGTTTCACAGTCCTGTAGAGATTATTGTCCCCTGATTCCATCTCAATTCCATCCCTTCAACCATAAACAGATCATCCATATGCCACACCGATTGCTGTGCAACATACTTTCAGGAAGTTCATGGTGTCCATGATGATGTCCACCCGTGCGTCAAACTCTTGCGCGTCACACGCCCAACGACATCCGGAGCATTCGGAAGAAAGCGGAAGGAACCGCAAACATCCTGCACCACTGGTGAGCAACTGACATGGACAAAAGAGTAATACCTTGCCCCGGTTCCGGGAAGTCAAAAGAACAGAACCGCTAGGGATACAGATGAAAGATGATGAAATGGATACCGTGAGGCCTCATGATGCAGGATGTCGGCCGGTCATGGTCCGTACATCAGGGCACCGCGTGAGGTCAATTAATAGCTTCTTGTTACTACTAGTAAGGCACTTGTTACTACTAGCTTCTTGTTACTACTAGCGTGGCACCTGTTACTACTAGCGTGGCACTTATTCTTGAAAGTGGCACACTCACTCGGAATCATCGAATCATGGAAGTGTTCGGATTTCATGGTCCTCACAGCCATGTTTCATCCACGTAACCATGATGATTCCGGAAAATAATACACCACAAAAACCAAAAGCCTGGGGCATTCTGGAAAACCAATACTTCGGAATGAGGGTAAATCTGCGCGCGCATGTGATCGAATTGTCCTCTGGGTGCTCTGGTGTTTTCTGGCGCCCGTCGGGTCCAGACCAAGAGGCCATGGAAAATCGTTCTCTAACGAAAAGCGCTGCAACACGCAGCGTTCCAGCTTCGAGTCATCTCGCAAGTGAACTATGGCATAGTAACTATGGTCAAGAAACATCCAGAAGATCCCCAATAAAACTGCGGGGTCGGTTCGTGTGACATGTTACATTCGTGTGCGTGTGTTCGGGTCCTTCGGGTCCTTGACCCAAAGCCGAATTCTAAATCATCGCGGATGCACACAAATCACACTGCTCTCTGTACAATAGAACGCATCGAGCATTGGCACTAGTCGCTATAGTCATAGATCGGCTGAGTCTGAGTTTTCACCTCCCGTGGAAACCTGTTTGGTTGCGTGATTGAAAACATTGTCTCAACTGCAGCAGGAGCTGTGTGATGGAAAAAAAACTCAACTTCACCATCAAGTCCTCCAGAGCATGATGGAGAGTGGGATACATGGCAGCCAGAAGGTTGCTTCAACCGTTCTGCGCAACGTGGATCGCGCAATCCTCCTTGCAAAGCGGACAGGAGAGCTTTGCAGGGGCCGAACCTCGGCCGCTGCAAACACGAGATGTGCCCCATCTATACAGGCACTCTTTGTGATAGCAATGCTGGCATGGTAGCTGCTTCACCTGCTCATGCGGCTCCAGCTGATCCAAACAAATCGCACACGTCAACTCTCCGTCACCATGGCCGACCGGAAGCTCATCGACCAGCCTCGAAGGGTGTGTGGAGTTTGTAAACGCAAGAACCCAGCGAATAACCAAACCCTAACAGGTGTCCTGCCCGCAAGCGGGCAGGAAAACCAGACAAAGAAAACGAAATATGTCCCTGACCAAACGATGTCCCTTTTGAAAAAAAAGAATTTTGGTTGACGCTGCCCAGATTGTGGACGCCAAAGGTGAAGCAACACTCCGGTAGTCCATTTTGGTATTTATCAGAACAGCCAAACCCCCGAATCCGCTTAGCATTCCTTGGCCCCGAATCACTGCAAGCAAAATCGGACCTTGACCTGTACTCACCTCCCATCAATTTGCCTTGTCGAAAACCCTGGGTTGCATGTTTGCCCTACCCTGACAGCTATGAGCAGAGCGACGCTCCCTTCAAGCACCTTTCACACACGCCTTCGTGGCACAGCTGCAAGCTTGAGCCAACAAAGAGATGATACCAAAGAGATGAACCTACTAGCGATGGCACCAAACCCCTCTTGGAGATACCAAAAAGAAGCTTGGCGCGAGACGTCCGCGTTTTTTGCACCAACGACACGTCCAGGCGACACGTGTCCCAGAAAGTTCGCGCTTCACGATCGCACCAGCGTTGGGCGCGACGTGTATGTGAATCAGATGGCGCTCTGCCAGGACATGTAGCTTATTGTTTCTAATAGCTTCTTGTTACTAGTAAGGCACTTGTTGCTACTAGCGATGCACT